CCCTTTGGGTAATTTTGAGGAGTGTGTGTTCCAGACCCAACCTGGCAACTATGACAGTCTCTGCTTGTATACTCTGCAGGATCTAACTGGTTTAACCTTAGTACGGATCCAGTCAGTAACAAACTCCCTGCCAAGTTCAGAACAGTCATCCTGTGCAGTTTATGTTTGCCTGAGATGAATTTGTGATTATAATCTGACCGTATCAACACCCCTAAATCTTGGATATGATCAGAATTAATTTATGGGTCAACAAGTTTGACTCCCTGTTTGTTTTAAGTGTTTTGTCGTGGTCCTTAGACCAGGCACATGTAGGTCAGATGGGATTGTTTGCAAGATTATAGCAAATACAGCTTTAATGTACTTACCCATATACATGGTTTAACCACGTCATAGTATCTAGGTCCACTATTAGTTAGAAACCCTAATATATTCATAACTGGTTTTAATATGTATACACAAGCTAAAATCCACCATTGGGTGTATTTCAGTAACTGCCACCCATTGGGTGACAAATGTTTTTGTGAACTCTTATCAAACAACTCTCTGAGTAGGAGTTTCTTTCTTCCATGGTTCAGCTAGTATGGTTGTGGTAGGGTTGCAGCAGTGTTAGTTTGGGCCAGCATCTTGAGGTTATCTTGAGTTGATTTCGGAGCTTTAGTGTCCCCACGGCCCGGTCCTTGACCAGGCCTCCACCCCCCAGGAAGCAGCCTGTGACAGCTGACTAACACCCAGCTACCTATTTTACTGCTAGGTAACAGGGGCATAGGGTGAAAGAAGATCTGCCCATTGTTTCTCGCTGGCGCTCGGGATCAAACCCAGGACCACAGGATCACAAGTCCAGCGTGCTGTCCGCTCGGCCGACTGGCTCCTCCCAATGGGCGTATGATGTCGCCCATTGCCACATTTAAGACACATCTAGTTGTGTCTCACAGCAAGAGCCCTCGAAAATTTCGTACACCTTTGCAGCAAATTATCAATCTTACTAGCACAGTCTGGGTATTTAAAGGCATTGGTATATTGGATGGTCATCATTGTGGAACAATATTTAAACCCTGTTGTAGATGATGCAGGATCTTCCTTTGGCAGGTCTATAATAATAACAGGATTCACTAGGGAAACTGTACGTTCTCACGCTGCCTTGCATCCACTTAAGTTGTGGCTTAGGTTGTTTAGACTTCAATATTTTTCAAGCAGGTACTTGTCCGTTTTGGATTTGTCAGCTGAAGACTTTTCTGATAATATAATCTAAACCCTCAAAGATTTTGTTGAGGGAGAGAATAGATGTTCTGTAATGAGAACACACACATTCTAATATTTCTTTGTGTAATTTCCTCTGCACTTCAAGTTTGAGAATTCACTCTACATTAGGCACATTAGCCTTAGCAGTTAGTTCTTTAACTAGAGACTCCACTTTCAATCTGAAACTTTGTAAGGCTTCAGCAGTTTTACCTGCAGTAGGCAAATCCTTAATTGGTAACAGAGATTTGTAATTGCAATCTCTTTATTACAATAATTAGTTTCAAGTCCAGTAGTTGTTCAGCAGTATCACAGTTATCTTATGTGAGAAATTTATAGATTATATATAATATATAATTATTATAATAAGAGATAAATTATTGACTACTGCCTTGGCTTCACTTTTTAATACACTTCACAAGCAAGTTAATTTAGTTATTTTGGAGATGGAACTCAAAGAATTCACCAAGGAATCAAGAGTTCCAAAAACTGTCAAAGTTCTCATAATCCCTACATTGAAAAGTTGGTAAATCAATGACAGGTAGCTTAGCTTCTGATGGACAGTTAGCAGGTGAAGCAGCTCTGGTTGTTGTTGTCAAAGCACTTTGATTTGTAGAGGTGTTAATTAGTTAATTAAT